CTGCAACCGAGGTAGCGCCCTTAGCGGGAACCGAACCCAGGCCTCTCAGGACCGCAGGCCGACGCTTTAACCGCTGAGCCAAACCGGCCAGGGCGAAGCAGAGCATCTTTTGCATCTTTTCATACATCTGTTGGCCATTTGTATGTCTTTATGGGAGAAGTGTCTGTTCAGGCCCTCTGCCCATTTTTTAATTGGATTGTTTGTTTGCTTGGTGTTAAATTTTATGAGTTCTTTTTTTTTTTTTTTTTTTTTTTTTAATCCTCACCCGAGGACATTTTTCCATTTTTTGTTCAGGTAGAGTGGGAGGGAGAGAGAGGAACAGAGAGAGAGAGAAACATCGATGTGAAAGGGACACATCGAGTGGCTGCCACCCGCACAACCGACCAGGGCCGGGGACAAACTGCAACCGAGGTACATGCCCTTAGCGGGAACCGAACCCGGGTCTCTCAGGACCACAGGCCGATGCTCTAACCGCTGAGCCAAACTGGCCAGGGCTATGAGTTCTTTATATATTTTGTATATTAACCTCTTGTTGGAGCTGTTTGCAAATATCTCTCCCATTTGGTTGGTTGCCTTTTTGTTTTGTTGGTGGTTTCTTTTGCTGTGCAGAAACTTTTTAGTTTAATATAGTCCCATTCATTTATTTTGGCCTTTGTTTTGCTTGCCTTTGGAATTGAATTAATAAAATCTTCTCTAAGACCAAGTTCCATAGGTTTAGTATTTATGTTTTCTTCTATGTAATTTATTGTTTCAGATCTTATATTTAGGTATTTGATCCATTTTGAATTAATTTTTGTACATGGGAACAAACTGTAGTCTAGTTTCATTCTTTTGCATGTGGCTTTCCAATTGTCCCAGCACCATTTATTGAAGAGGCTCTCTTTTCTCCATTGTATGTTTTTGGCTCCTTTGTCAAAAGTTATTTGCTCATATACATGTAGTTTTATTTCTGGGCTCTCAATTCTGTTCCATTGGTCTGTGTGTGTGTTTTTTCTTCCAATACCATGCTGTTTTGATTATTGTTGCTCTGTAGTATAATTTGAAGCCAGGTAGTATGACACCTCTGGCTTTGTTCTTTTTTCTGAGGATTGCTTTGGTTCTTTGGGGTCTTTTGTGGTTCCATACTAATATAATTTTCTTGTTCTATTTCTTTAAAAAAGTCATTGGGATTTTGATGGGGATGGCATTCAATCTGTATATTGCTTTAGATATATGGACATTTTAACTATATTCATTTTTCCAGTCTATGAACATGAAATATATTTCCGTTTCATTGTGTCCTTTTTAATCTCTCTATAAAAATTTTTTCTCTATTGATTTAAGAGAGAAAGGGAGAAGGTGAGATAGAAACATCAATGAGAGAGAACATTGATTGGCTGCCTCCTGCATGCCCCCCACTGAGGATTTGGCCTACAACCTGGGCATGTGCCCTGAATGGGAATCAAACTGGTGACCTCTTGGTGCTTGGGTTGATGCTCAACCATTGAGCCACAATGGCCAGGCATCTTTTAATAAGGCTTTGTAGTTTTCAGTATATTGAGTCCATCACATCCTTTGTTAAGTTTATTCACAGGTATTTTATTCTTTTTGTTGCAACTGCAAAACAAATTGTGTTGGTTTTTTTTTTCCATTTCTTTTCCTGAAATTTCATTGTTAGTATATAGGAATACCGTGGATATTTGTACATTGATTTTGCATCCTACATCTTTACTGTATTTATTGTTTCTAATAGTGTTCCAGTGCCTTTTAGAGGACTTACCATGGACTAAGCCATAGAATAAGCAGAGATTCCTGCCACACTTGGAGGAGAAACCCTTTCACCAGAGTGGGAAAAAGCTGGAGACAAGAGAGGGCAGGATTTAGACGCAGGTCTCTTGCTTCACCAGAGTGCCAAAACTCTGCAGTAGGGAAACAATGATTTCCCGATTTCCCAGACTGAGTGTGAGAACATTGATTATATCTCTCAAATTTTGGATTTGGATTGGTAGAGTAGCAATGGCTAAGGGAGGTGCCGCCTGGCATCAGCCTCATAAAATACCATATGATCGACAGTGATATAGAACAGGGTTCTCAAACTTTTTGGTCTCTAGAATGCAGACCGAGTAGCTACTAAGCCTATTTCTCTAGGGTGTGTTTTTCAAATTCTTTGGTCTCGAGATTTCTTGAAAACCTATAAAGTATTGAGGACTCCAAAGAGCATAAGTATATATAGCTATAGATATTTACTATATTAGAAATTAAAATCGAGAAATGTTTGATATTTTTAATCACTGATTTTAACAAATATTTTTATGAGAATAACTATTTTCAAAAAGATTTTAAATATACTAAGAATGACATTGCTCTATATATATATTGGCAAATCTCTTTAATGTCAAGCTTAATAGAAAACTGAATTCTTATATTTGATCCTGCATTAAATCTGTTATGAAATATTGTTGTAGTTGAAGAATGTGAAGAAATCCACCCAGAAAGATATGTAGTTGGAAAAGAGAAATGTTTTAATAGACCTCAGATAACTGGATAGCTTTCTTTAATACTAGACCAAAATTCCACAAGTGGTAGTTTTGTAAAGGTTAGTTGCAATGTAAACTTTTTGTTCTCTGTTATACTAAAATCCATTGATATATTTTTCACTTTGAATGAATCTTTTACCCATTTGTCATTTCTGTAACATCATCGTCACTTGGTAAATATTGGTTCACTGAAACAGATCTTCTAAATGTTGATACATTCATTATACAATATCAAATATATCTATGTATCTCTATCTCTATCTTAGTATTTTTTATTTTTCAGAAGTCCTTAAAAATTATGAAGCTCATGATGGCAGATATACCTTTTCCAAAATTCTTCCACTTGAAAGCTCAAGTTTTAATATTGTTAATAAATACTGTCAACTTTTTTTTCTCTGTTCATTTTCAAGATTTCTAAATCTGCTAATTGTACTCTTAAATGATTTTTCTCTTTTATTTAAACTTTTGACCACCTTCATCCATTTGTTAAACATGAAAAAAGCAGCTAGTTCATTCAGTTCATCACTCAAGTAACTGCACAAATGCTTTTCCTCAAAATAACTACTATACTTCTGTATGTAGAAGTATTTTATGTGTAAACTCCCCATTCAGTCATACATACTACAATGACAAGTACTCAAGGGTTAAGATTTAAAGTAAATCATAGGCCTAAATGTAAACACAAAACTATAAAATGCCTATAAAATCACATAGGAGAAAATCTCGATAACTTTGGGTAAGGCAATGAGTTTTTAGAGACAAGACCAAAGGCAAAATCCATGAAAAAAAAATTGACTAGCTGAACTTCATTACAATTAAAAAATAAAATCTGTTCTGCAAAAGAGAGTCAAGAAAATGAGGAGACAAGCCACAAACTGGAGAAAATATTTACAAAAGACATTATCTGATAAAGGATTGTTATCCAAAATATACAAAGAACTCTTAATTCAACATAAGAAAATGAACACCCAATTTTTAAGAAATGGGCAAAGAACTTAATAGGCACCTTATTAAAGAAGATACACAGCCCTGGCTGGTTTGGCTCAGTGGTTAGAGCGTCGGCCTGCGGACCAGAGAGGCCCTGGTTCGGTTCCCGCTAAGAGCACGTACCTCGGTTGTGGTTTGTCCCCAGCCCTGGTTGGGTCGTGTGGGTGGCAACCACTTGATGTGTCTCTGTCACATCGATGTTTCTCTCTCTCTCTTCCTCCCTCTCTCCCTCCCGCTCTATCACAAATGCAGGAATGTCCTCGAGTGAGAACTAAAAAAAAAAAGAAGATACAGTGATACCTCGGTTCTCGAACATAATTCGTTCCAGGAGGACGGTCGAGAACCGAATTGTTCGAGAACCGAAGCAATGAAACCCAATAGGAAAGCGGACTCCACAAAGCGTGACTCTCTCTCTGCACTCACACTGATGACGCAAGCAAGGCGCGCTGGGCCGAATGAACGCCATATTTGGAAGTTCGAGTTCCAAATATTTGTTCGGATTCCGAGACAAAAGTTTCTCGAATCCTGATTTGGTCGAAAACCGAGGCGTTCGAGAACCGAGGTATCACTATACAGATGGCAAATAGAATATAAAAAGATGTTCAACATTATTCATCATTAGGGGAATGCATGAATAATGTTATCATTAAATTCCGATTAGAATGGCCAAAATCCAAAAACACTACCACCACCAAATGCTAGCAAGGATATGGAGCAACCGGAACTCTCATTCATTGCTGGTGGGAATGAAAAGGGTACAGCCACTTTGAAAGACAGTTTAAAAGTTTCTACAAAACTAAACATACCATATAATCCAGCAATCACACTCCTTGCTGTCTACTCAAATGAATTGAAAATTTACGTCTACACAAAAACCTGCACACTGAAGTTCATAGCAGTGTTATTCAGTTTCCAACACTTGGAAGCAACCAAGATATCCTTGCGTATGTGGATGGATAAAATAAATTGTGGTATATTCAGAGGAACATTGTTCAGTGTTAAAAGAAATGAGTTATCAAGCCTTAAAAAGTCACCTAAATGGCCCTGGCTGGTTTGGCTCAGCGGTTAGAGCGTCAGCCTGTGGTCCAGAGAGACCCAGGTTCGGTTCCCACTAAGGGCACGTACTTCGGTTGCAGTTTGTCCCCGGCCCTGGTTGGTTGTGCGGGTGGCAGCCACTCGATGTGTCCCTTTCACGTTGATGTTTCTCTCTCTCTCTCTCTTCCTCTCTCTCCCTCCCACTCTATCTGTACAAAAATTGGAAAAATGTCCTCGGGTGAGGATAAAAAAAAAAAAAAAGTCACCTAAATAAAGGCTACATACTGTATGATTCCAACAACTAGCAGGCACTCTGGAAAAGGCAAAACTATGGAGACAATAAAAAGATCAGTGTTTGCCAGGGGTAAGGGTGGAAAGAGAGGGATGAATACGTGGAGCACAGAGGATTTGTTTTTGTTTTTGTTTTTAGAACAAATCCATTTTATTTCCTTTTCAATAAATTTAAATCCTTGAGGGGTACAGCATTATACGAATTCTGTGTCCAATGGCCTTAGCGGGAAGGTTGTTTCGGAATTTAGCACGAACCATGCCACTATTTCCATGAACACAAGTTACCTTTCCCCAGATTACTCTGGTTTTGTTTGGTTTGCTACCAGGAGTCACTGTGTAGTTCTTTGCTTTGTACACATAAGCACATCTCTTGCCCAGATAGAATTCAGTTTCATCTTGAGCATAAATACCTTCAATTTTAAGAAGAGCTGTGTGCTCCCTCTGGTTCCGGAGACTCCGCTTATAACCGGCAAAAATGGCCTTGGACCACAGCCTTCCAGACATATTTGTCCTTATAGAAGTCCTGTTCCCAGCAGGCCCCCAAAGTTCAGCAGCAGGACTTCCACTTCAAGCACAGAGGATTTTTACAGCAGTGAAACCACCTGTATGATACTATGATGGTGAATACATGTCATTATACATTTATCAAAACTCAAAGAAGGTACAACACTAACGTAAACTATGAACTTTGGGTGATAATGATGTGTCAATGTAGACTCACTGATTTTAACAAATACACTGCTCTGGTATGGGATGTTGAGAGGGGGGAAGGTTGTGAATATGTGGGGGCAGTGGGTTTATGTTAACTCTCTGTACTTTCCCTTCAATTTTGCTGCAAACCTAAAATTGCTCCCAAAAGTCTATTAAAAAAATATACAGCCCTGGCCGGTTTGGCTCAGCGGTTAGAGCGTCGGCCTGCGGTCTGGAGAGACCCGGGTTCGGTTCCCGCTAAGGGCACGTACTTCGGTTGCAGTTTGTCCCCGGCCCTGGTTGGTCGTGCGGGTGGCAGCCACTCGATGTGTCCCTTCACGTCGATGTTTCTCACTCTCTCTCCCTTCCTCTCTCTCCCTCCCACTCTATCTGTACAAAAAAAATGGAAAAATATCCTCGGGTGAGGATACAAAAAAAAAAAATATATATACAAATCATCACATCCTCCCACAACCACATCAAAGTTACAACTAAACTACAGAACAACCATCATTCAAAGCCGTCTGAAATCGACCTGAATGGAAGTCCTACAACTACGGAATTAAAGCAGCAGCCACATCCAGACTGGTAGGAGGAGCAGAGGCGGACGGGCTGGTCCCACACCCACGTGTGGTGGAAAAAAATTAGAAGGACTCTTTGGCTGGGAAGGTCCTCCCTGAGGACTAAGAGGTCCCTGCCCCACACCAGGCATCCAGCTCAGGGTTCCAGTGCCAGGAAAAGAATTCCCATCACTTCTGGCTGGAAAAACCAATGGGAACTGAGGCTGAGGGAGACTGAGGCAGCTTGAGCCCCAGGCAGCTCCTCTTTAAAGGGCCCGTGCACGGGTCAACTCGGATTCTCACCGTCCAGGCTCCAACATGGGGGAGGCAGCTTAAAAGGCACCAGAGACATATGGGGAAGAACTGAGTTGTTTGGCATTGGAGCGAGGGCTGGAGAGGTGGCTTTCTTCTGGACAAACACGCTATCAGAGGCCTTTGTTCCTTTGGTGAGCCCTTCCCTGGGGCAGCAGACAGCCACCATATATGGGACTCCAGCAACCTGGTTCACACTGTTTGCCCTGCCCTGGTGTTCCCTGAGGCCCCGCCCCACCCAACTTTCAGGCCCACCCAAGCTGTTGCCAGTTGCTTGACCATAGGATTGGCCAGGCTTGGATCCTGCTTCAGGTTTTCCTAATTTCTTTCAAACAAGCAGCATCTGGTCTCAGCTAGCCCCATACCTCTCATTAAGTAATACATAGAAACAAACACAGGGAGGCAGCCAAAATGAGGAGACAAAGAAACAGGTCCCAAATGAAAGAACAGAACAAATCTCCAGGAAAAGAACTAAGCAAAATGGAGATAAGCAACCTAACAGATGCAGAGTTCAAAACACTGCTTATAAGGATGCTCAATGAACTTAATGAGAACCTCAATGAACTTAGTGAGGGCCTCAACAGCATAAAAAGGCACCAGTCAGAAATGAAGGAGGCACTAACTGAAATAAAAAATAATTTACATAGACTCAATTGTAGAGTAGGTAAAGCCAAGAAGCAAACCATCGATTTGGAATATAAGGAAGCAAAAAAAACACACAATCAGAACAGAAAAATAAATAAATAAAAAAAGAGGATAGTGTAAGGAGCCCCTGGGACAACTAAAAGAATGAGGATAGTGTAAGGAGCCCCTGGGACAACTTCAAGTGTACCAACATTCGCATCTTGGGGGTACCAGAAGGAGAAGAGAGAGAACAAGAAATCGAAAACCTATTTGAAACAACAATGGCAGAAAAATTCCCTAACTTGGTGAAGAAAACAGACATACAAGTCCAGGAAGCACAGAGTCCCAAACAAGATGAACCCTAAGAGGCTCACACCAAGACACATCATCATCAAAATGCAAAAGGTTCAAGACAAAGAGAGAATCTTAAAAGCAGCAAGAGAAAAGCAGTTAGTTACCTACAAGGGAGTTCCCATAAGACTGTTAGCTGATTTCTCAAAAGAAACTTTGCAAGCCAGAAGGGAGTGGCAAGAGATATTCAAGGTGATGAAAAGCAATGACATACAACCAAGATTATTCTATCCTGCAAAGCTGTCATTTAGAATTGATGGCCATATAAAGAGTTTCTCAGACAAGAAAAAGTTAAAGGAGTTCATTACCACCAAACCATTATTATATGAAATGATGAAGGGTCTTCTTAAAGAAAAAGATAAAAAATATGAACAAACAAAATGGCAATGAATACATATCTATCGACAATTGAATCTACAAACAAAATGAACACTCAGAACAGAAGCATTCTCATAGATACAGAGAACATTTTGTTGGTTGCCAGATGGGAGGGGGGTTGGAGGAATGAGTGAAAAAGGTGAAGGAATTAAGAAGTGCAAATTGGTTGTTAGACTGACAAACCTCAAAGGGAAGGGGGGGGTGGGAAGTGGGAAGAGATAAACCAAAGAACTTATATGCATATGTGCATAACCAATGGACACAGACAACAGTGTGGGAAAAGGCGGGGGGTGGGGGGGGAGTAGGGAGGAGGGGGTCAATGGGGGGAAAATGAGGAGCATCTGTAATACATTCAACAGTAAAGATAAATTAAATATAAGTAAATACACACACACACACAAATCAAAAACAGAATTGCAGGGAAAGAAAAATCTACCATTGTAGTTAAAGATTTCAATATTCCTCTCTCAATAATTAATAGAGCAAGTAGACAAAAAAAAAAAAAATCAGTAAAAATATGGAAGTCACGAACAACTTTATAAACCAACCTGACCTAATTGGTATTTATGGTACACTACCCCAGCAGCTGCAGAATACACATTTTTCTTTTCAGAAGCACAGATTATGGGCCATTAAACAAAGCTGAATATATTTAAAGGGATTCAGTCACACAAAGTTATGTTCTCTGACTACAATGGAATTAAAATAAAATCTATAAGAGAAAGATATCTAAAAAGTCTAAATGTTTGGAAACTAGATAACACACCTCTAAATTACATGACTCAAAGAAAAAAATCAAAATTGAAATTAGAAAGTATTTTGAACGGAAGAGAAATTAGTATCAGAATTGTTAGAATGCTAATAAAGCAGAACTTAAGGGGAAATATATAGTACTAAACTTTTATTAGAAAAGAATAAAGTTATCAAATTAATGGCATCAGCCTCTATATTAAGACATTAGACAAAGAACAACAAATTAAACAAAAGTGAAATAAGCACAATAAGCGAAACATAATAAGCATCAGAGTGGAAATCAATGAAATCGAAAACAGAAATCCAAGAGAGAAAAATCAGTGACTCCAAGGCTGGGTTATACTCTGAAGTCAATCAATGTAATTCATCATATTAACAAACTGAAAAAGAAAACGTATCTAATAGATGCAGAAAAAACATTTGACAAAATCCAACACCCACTCCTCTCAGTGAGTACTTAACCCAATGAAGGGCATCTAGGAAAAACCTTTAGCTCATATCATACTTAATGTGAAATACTAAATGCTTCCTCTACAAGATCAAGATGAAAATGTCCATTCTCACCACTTTTATTCAACGTCGTATTAGAGTTCCAACCAGTGCACGTGAGAAAAAGTTATGCATAATAAAACTTTCTACTTTTAGAGTTAACACTGTCATCTACATAGAAAATCCAACAGAATTGTACAAAGAGGCCACTAAAACTAATAAGTGAGCTTAGCAAAATCAGTATAAAAATATAAATTAAGCCCTGGCCAGTTAGAACATCATCCCAATATGACAGGTTGCGGGTTTGATCCCTGGTCACAGCACATTCAAGAATCAACCAATGAATGCATAATTAGAACAACAAATCAATGTCTCTCTCTCTAAAATCAATAACATAAAAAATTAAAAATATATAAATTGAATGTTTATATCTATCAATTAACACTCAGAAGCAAAGTGAATTTTAATATTTTAAAAAATTGTCACAGTGCCCTGGCCAGTTTGGCTCAGCGGTAGAGCGTCGGCCTGCGGTCCAGAGAGACCTGGGTTCGGTTCCCGCTAAGGGCATGTACCTCGGTTGCAGTTTGTCCCCGGCCCTGGTTGGGTTGTGCGGGTGGCAGCCACTCGATGTGTCCCTTTCACGTCGATGTTTCTCTCTCTCTCTCTCTCCCTCCCCACTCTATCTGAACAAAAAATGGAAAAATGTCCTCGAGTGAGGATAAAAAAAAAAAAAAATTGTCACAGTATTTTTTTAAAAGTTAAATTTTGGTTAAATCTGACAAAAAATGTGAAAGATCTATTCACTGAAACCTACAAGACAATGTTGAAAATTAAAGAATATGTAAATAAATGGAAAGATGGGTCAATGGCAAATACTAAGATCTCAAGTGTCTTCAAATTGATATGTACCTTAAATAATTCCAACATCCTGTTTTCGTAGACTGACCCCTGATGCTATAATCCATATGCAAATCAAAGAATCTAAAATACCCTACTTTTGAAAATAAAAAATAAAATTGGAGAACTACCTTGTTTTAAACATTTATAAATCCACAGTAATTAAGATAATGTGGTATTGATGCAAATATATACAAATATGTACATTTCAATCAGTAATGCACAAGAGTACCAATTTCTCTACATCTTTGCCAACACTTCTATTTTCTTGTGTGGTTTTTTTTTTTTTTTTTATAACATCTATCCTAATGGGTGTGAAGTTGTATCTCATTGTGGTTTTTATTTGAATTTCCCTAGTGATTAGGAATGTTGAACATCTTTTCCTTTGCTTATTGGCCATCTATCTTCTTGTGAGAAATGTCTATTCAAGTTCTTTACTCATTTTTTAATTGGTTTTTCTTTTTGTGGAATTGTAAGGATTCCTCATACATTCTAAATACTGATTTTTTTTGTGTGTGTGTGTGTCTTTTTTTGAGAACAAGG